TTAATATCCCCTTTATTAATACCCATCTTCCACTTATACACTTTGATCATGTCTCCTCTCATTCTTCGTCTAACAAGTGAACGTAATTTAAGGGTCTTCAATCTTTCTTCATAAGGAAGATTTCTAATGCTATGTATTAATTTAGTCATTCTACACTGAATGTTTTCTAACAAATTTATGTCCATTCTATAATATGGAGACCAGAACTGAGCTGCATAATCTAGGTGAGGCCTTACTAATGATGTATAAAGCTGTAATATAACTGCTGAACTTCTGCTGCTTACACTTCTTGATATAAATCCCAGTAATCTGTTTGCCTTATTAAGTATGCTTAGGCATTGCTGTCTTGGTTTAAGGTTGCTGCTTATCAAAACCCCCAAGTCCTTTTCGCAATCTGTATGGCTAAGTTCTACATTATTTAGCTTATAAGTCCTAGGGTTGTAGACATTCCCGAGCTTCAGAACCTTACATTTCTCTACAATGAACTGCATCTGCCACAAGAACTGCATCTGCCACATTGGACTCTTTAGAACTTGTTTCCTATTACTTCATTAAATAAATGTGTATGTTAAGTATCATGCTCTATTTGTTAACTCTAAGTTGTTTGTTCAACTAAGTATTAAGGTGATAGAGTAGGTATTGTTTTTGTTTTATTAAACAAGTGCTTGTGCGTAAATTTTCCTGAATACACACCCTTCTCACTTTTGATCAAGAGTACTGTATTAAATTTCTCTCAAGTTTTATTGTATTGTTTATATTAAAAACATTATTCCAACTGTGCCTCTGTGAATTAACCCTTAAACTGTCCAAATGTAGATCTACGTAGATGTGCGTAGCGCTCCGAACATAGATATACAGTGGACCCCTGCATACCGTTGGCATCACATAATGTTAAATCCGCATACCGATACATTTTATCGCTAAGATTTTGCCTCGCATACCGCTAAAAAGCCCGCTCAGCGCTATTCGTCCGAGACGCGTCTAATGTGCGGCCTGAGCCAGCCTCACATGTTCCGCCGGTGGCATTGTTTACCAGCCAGCCTCCGCGGTAACATCCAAGCATACAATCGGAACATTTCGTATTATTACAGTGTTTTTGGTGATTTTATCTGCAAAATAAGTGACCATGGGCCCCAAGAAAGCTTCTAGTGCCAACCCTACAGGAATAAGGGTGAGAATTACTATAGAGATGAAGAAAGAGATCATTGCTAAGTATGAAAGTGGAGTGCGTGTCTCCGAGCTGGCCAGGTTGTATAGTAAACCCCAATCAACCATCGCTACTATTGTGTCCAACAAAACGGCAATCAAGGAAGCTGTTCTTGCCAAAGGTTCAACTGTGTTTTCGAAGCAGAGATCGCAAGTGATGGAAGATGTTGAGAGACTCTTATTGGTATGGATAAATGAAAAACAGATAGCAGGAGATAGCATCTCTCAAGTGATCATAAGTGAAAAGGTTAGGAAGTTGCATGAGGATTTAATTAAAAAAATGCCTGCAACTAGTGATGATGTGAGTGAATTTAAGGCCAGTAAAGGTTGGTTTGAGAGATTTAAGAAGCGTAGTGGCATACATAGTGTGATAAGGCATGGTGAGGCTGCCAGTTCGGACCACAAAGCAGCTGAAAAATATGTGCAGGAATTCAAGGAGTACATAGACAGTGAAGGACTGAAACCTGAACAAGTGTTTAATTGTGATGAAACAGGCCTGTTTTGAAAGAAAATGCCAAGCAGGACCTACATTACTCAGGAGGAAAAGGCACTCCCAGGACATAAGCTATGAAAGACAGGCTTACTCTGTTGATGTGTTCCAATGCTAGTGGTGATTGCAAAGTGAAGCTTTATTAGTGTATCACTCAGAAACTCCCAGAGCGTTCAGGCAAAAAGAATATCCTCAAGGCTAATTTGTGTGTGCTGTGGAGGGCAAACAGTAAGGCATGGGTCACGAGGGACTTTTTCTATGACTGGTTACACCAAGCATTTGCCCCAATGTGAAAGATTACCTAACTGAAAAGAAATTAGACCTTAAGTGCCTCCTGGTGTTAGACAATGCCCTGGTCATCCTACAGACGTGGCAGAGCGACTTTATGGGGACATGAGCTTCATTAAGGTGAAGTTTTTGCCTCCTAATACCACTCCTTCCTGCAGCCCATGGACCAGCAGGTTATTGCAAACTTCAAAAAACTGTACACAAAAGCTCTGTTTGAAAGGTGCTTTGTAGTGACCTCAGAAACTCAATTGACTCTAAGAGAGTTTTGGAGAGATCACTTTAATATCCTCAATTGTGTAAACCTTATAGGTAAGGCTTGGGAGGGAGTGACTAAGAGGACCTTGAACTCTGCTTGGAAGAAACTGTGGCCAGAATGTGTAGACCAAAGGGATTTTGAAGGGTTTGAGGCTAACCTTGGGAATCCTATGCCAGTTGAGGAATCCATTGTGGCATTGGGAAAGTCCTTGGGGTTGGAGGTTAGTGGGGATGATGTGGAAGAGTTGGTTGAGGAGGACAATGAATAACTAACCACTGATGAGCTGCTAGATCAACTTCAACAGCAAGAGGCCAGACCTGAGGAAACTGCTTTGGAGGAGGGGAGAGAGAAATTGAAGAAGTTGCCTACTTCAAAGATTAAGGAAATGTGTGGAATGTGGCTTAAAGTGCAAACCTTTTTTGATGACAATCACCCTAACACAGCTATTGCAAGCCGTGCTGGTGACTATTACACTGACACTGTTGTGAAACACTTTAGGAAAGTCATAAAGGAACGAGAGGTACAGGCCACTATGGACAGATAGGTTGTGCGACAGAAGTCCAGTGACTCTGAAGCTGGTCCTAGTGGCATTAAAAGAAGAAGGGAAGTAACCCCAGAAAAGGACTTGACACCTCAAGTCTTAATGGAAGGGGATTCCCCTTCTAAACACTAAGACACTCTCCTCCTCCCATCCCATCAATCATCACCAGATCTTCAATAAAGGTAAGTGTCATGTAACTGTGCATGCCTTTTTCAGTTTGTGTGTATTAAAATTAATATTTCATGTGGTAAAATTATTTTTTTCATACTTTGGGGTGTCTTGCACGGATTAATTTGATTTCCATTATTTCTTATGGGGAAAATTTATTCGCATAACGATAATTTCGCATAACAATGAGCTCTCAGGAACGGATTAATATCGTTATGCGGGGGTCCACTGTATGTTTCTTTTACATGCTTGCAAATGGAGAAAAATAAAGGTCAGAGTGCTACGCACGTGGACAAAGATCTGGGTTTAGACAGTTTAATTTAATTTATATTTAGAGTACTACCTTTTGAAAGTCTTAACATCTCTTTCAACACTTGTACTAATTATTCAGTGTAAAAAATTATGTTTCTGTATTCATTTTATAAGTGTTCTAACCATTTTTAGTACGGTACATGCATATGAAAGTTATGTCATTTATATGTACACCACTATCTTTTAAAGGACTTCTTTTTATTTGATTTCATGTGGTGTATGACAACACACTGTCTTTAGAAAAATGCTAATTTTTTTTTGAGTTTAGCACATTTTGGGCATAAAAGTCTACTTTGCATTGGAGATTAATTCCATGAATTTACTTGATACCTTTTCCTCACAAAGAATGATGAGAATTTAGTAATTACGTACTTATTTGCAGTTAGCTGCTGGGTTAACAATTTATTCTTTATTATCCACAGGAGCTGGGTTATGCATGTGGCATCCAGTCTTCAGAATTTAATTAGTCATACAACTTTTTTTTTTTTAAATTTCTTGTAAGTTTATTCAGGTATATTACACAAGTTAAGATTTTTACAATTGTATGTGTATATTTCCTAAGATACCTCAATAAAGTTTGTGACTTATTTTCACTGGAATCCTTGTAGCACTTAATACAGTACTTTTCTTGTGTCTCATCCCATTCTTCTATCACTCTGTGTAAGAAAACTTTTGCACGGTAGTATGTTTTCTTAGTTTAAGACTATCATTTTGTGTTCTCCCGGTTAGGTTAAGTTAGGTAAGATTTGTCAGGAAACAGGACAAGTGTTTCCTGATGTGGGTCTTAGTCATATGATGACCCACATTTGGAGCTTTTTGGTCATATGACTGAGGCCTTTTGCTGGCTTACCAGTTCATCCCTTTAAAAATTATGGTTATGATTATAACAATTTCATTTTTTCACCCCTGTTGATGACACTAAGACGTAAGCTTTCCCTATTTCATTCATATTTTTTATGACACATCGGCCAAAAAGGAAATTTTTAGTGTTTTCAGTCTTTCATGGTAACTCATTTCATTGCTTTGGGAGCCATTTTGCAGTTCAGTTTGGGATTTTATTTTTCCCATATTTTTAGTAGTAGACTTCACCTTATAATACTTGTTAAAATTTTAGCCATACATACGTTGTGATCATTTTTTTTTTATTTTAGCCTTTCTCCATCCATATATCTGACAGGGGTTTCATAATTAAAATTTGCAAATACATTATAGGATAGAAGTATGTAATTATTTATGTGGTCTTCTGGTAAAAATTTTTTGTCACTAATAAATTCCTCTCTGACACTTTTTCATATGTATTCTTCAAATAGCCTGTAGTTGCTTTCACCCATTTCCATGACATGGTACTTACCAACATGTAATTCCACCATCAGTCTGTCATTCCAGTTTTACTTATTATCCAGTTTTTCTTGTAAGGATTTAGTCATTTTCATTGCTTATTTTGCATTAAGACCTTTGCATCATTTGCAAACATAAACAAATACTAAACTTTTATACTTTTGAAATACTTATATGTTGCAAGCTATAGAAAAAGCAAATGCAAATAAATTCTTGTAATGTCATATATCAACTTTGGATATGTAATAAGCTCTTGACAATGACAAGGTTGAGTATAAAGAGCTATAAAGTCAAATATATGGCCATTTTCATTCTTCTATTATCTCTCAAATCCATAGTGGATTTTTAGCTCTCGAAGCTAAGCCCTGATAGCATTATCCAGAACCTGAAGCTTCACATACCTTGATGTTGCGGCACCTGCCAACAGGTCCCTGGGGGTTAATGTTGGCAATGTAGATGGGTGTGTCGCCCTCATTACTGTTAACACCACCACCGATTCTCATGCCTAGGCTCTCCCTCACACTCTGGAAAGGTGATTCAGCATATACATATATATAGACACACACACATGAAGGAAAAAAAAACTGAGGAAAAAAAAGCATCATGAAAGCAATAGAAGAGGACGACATGACCCAGCTGACAAATTTTCGGAGAACTGGGTGGTTTGCGAGAGGAAAAAAGCATCCAGTCAAAGTGATTTTTAAGGCAGAGTCAGCCCGAAACCGGATCCTGCAGGAGAAAGTGTGTCTAAGGGACAAACCAGAGTACCAGAGCGTGTCTGTCTTATTTCCATTGGGGTCCTCAATCTTGTCCCCCAGGATGCTATCCATACCAATCGACTGACACCCAGGCATCTACTTGCTTGCTAGGTGAATAGGACAACAGGTGTAAGGAAACAAGCAGAACATTTTCACTCTTGCTGGGAATCGAACCACGGACACTCAGCATGTGAAGTGAAAGCTTTGCCTACCAGGCCACGGGACACCCACCAGGTCACAGGACATTATTTATATATTTTTAATATACAGTGGACCCCCGCATAACGATCACCTCCGAATGCGACCAATTATGTAAGTGTATTTATGTAAGTGCGTTTGTACGTGTATGTTTGGGGCTGTGAAATGGACTAATCTACTTCATAATATTCCTTATGGGAACAAATTCGGTCAGTACTGGCACCTGAACATACTTCTGGAGTGAAAAAATATCGTTAACCGGGGGTCCACTGTATATATATTGAAGTTCTAACTCACCCCTCAATGCCTGGCAGTGCCACCTTATTAATTGTCTAATGTGTTAAAACTGTAGCAGTACTTATAAGAAAATGTTTTTTTAGAACAGTTTTTTTAGGTATACGTTTTTTAGAATGGTTTCAGCACTGGATATGATTCTACACAGAATTACAGTAGTGTTTAAGAGCATTTGTCATAACTACATAGTAGTTCATACTTACCTTTTTAATGGTGACATTTTTCTGCTGGAGTTGATGGTTTTCTGTGTGCATTAAACGTTTGAGTCCTGCCATGATATCAAGAGAATCTTCAGGAGAGCGAGCACCTCGTGGAGTTGCATGTAATGAAGTGGTGTCATGGTGTAAGTTGTGCTCTGATGATGATGAGTGCTGCTCGAAGAGGCCCGGCTCATGAGTAGGATTGATTGGCAAGTGGTGATGGTAGTGTTGAGGATTAATAGATGTTGAGTGTTGATGGTGGTGGGTTGAAGGTTGGTGGTGGTGGTGGTGATGATGATGATGATGATGACTTGATTCATTGTCATCAGTGTCAGATGTGCAATACCCAGGAGAGGAAGTAGTAGGTGAGCCACCCCTTGAGGGAGACCCAACTCCACCACCAGTCTCTGAAGGCAAATGGGTGCTGGGTGAAGACATCATGGATGACACAAGACTGTGGTCACTCAAAGAATCACAAGAAGCAGATCGTCCATATTCCATTGCACCACAGCCACTGTCACTTGCACTTCTGTGGTCTGCAGAACCCTGAAATTCATTTTCAGTTGCTGAGCTGTTGCGCCATGGATGTGAAGGGAAGCTTGTGTATTCAGGAGAGTGTGCGGTCGAGTCAGAACCAGACACGAAGGCAACAGCAGGCCCACGGCTTACCACAAGGCTTACATGTGTGTGGCTCTGTTGTATGAGGCGAGAGGCATGGTCAAGGCGGGCATAACGCACATCAGCACCATTGATGGCCAAAATGCGATCGTGTGGGTGAAGGTGACCATCCTGTGCAGCCACAGAACCCTCAAGCACTTCCATGACGAAAATACCAGGCTCAGTGCGTCGCCCTCCCAACTTCAGACCCAACTGACGGCTAGTTTCCTTGCACAAAGTTACTGCTACCATTTCACCTGAAAATAATTATGTATATTAGCATTCTGCAATAATTAAGGTGATCATTCACACTATAAGTTACCAGCCAATCTGCTGAGCATTCTAGGTTTTGACAATTTTTCACTGTAATTAAAATATTATACCCTCTCATTATAATTTACATAAATTGGCTTGAAAGTAACACATGCACAGGCTGATTTCTAGTGCTCTCAGAGCACAATATTCATATGGACATTTTGGTTAACTACTCATGTGTGACTAGTTAACGGTCCAAGTTGGACTGAAGTGTCATCACAGGTTTCATTTACCTATATTCAGGTTATTTGAATAATATTCATATGGCTAATACTGTAGTAACATTAAGAAAAATATAATATGTATTGCAGTACTCTATCTGTATTACAAAGAATGTTATTGCTTCTCATAATTTTATAATTTATTGTTCATATTTAGTGTAAATCCTAGGTAGTAGGTTGGTAGACAGCAACCGCCCAGGGAGGTACTACCGTCCTGCCAAGTGAGTTTAAAATGGAAGCCTGTAATTGTTTTACACGATGGTAGGATTGCTGGTGTCTTTTTTTTTTCTGTCTCATACACATGCAAGATTTCAGGTGCGTCTTGCTACTTCTACTTACACTTAGGTCACACTACACATACATGTACAAGCATATATATACACACCCCTCTGGGTTTTCTTCTATTTTCTTTTTAGTTCTTGTTCATGTTTATTTCTTCTTACCTCCATGGGGAAGTGGAACAGAATTCTTCCTCCATAAGCCATGCGTGTTGTAAGAGGCGACTAAAATGCCGGGAGCAAGGGGCTAGTAACCCCTTCTCCTGTATATATTACTAAATGTAAAAGGAGAAACTTTGGTTTTTCCTTTTGGGCCACCCCGCCTCGGTGGGATACGGCCGGTGTGTTGGAAGAAGATTTAGTGTAAATATTTTAGCCTGAATTTGTTCAGAAATAACTTGCCTGTAAAATATTCTTCAGTAAATGTAAATCACCTGATAAATAGTTTATAGCCAATTTTTAGAATTAAAAATCATTATGTATTGGCTATACTACTTGATGTGTTTACAATAATATGGCTGTGCTTTATGTACCTCAAGATTGTAAGTATATTTGACATAGTAGATGACTTAAGGTCTCTTGTCATGAAGCGAGATAGTATTACATGCCAAGTTGGCCAGGTACTGGAAAGCAATACTAATTTGTTGCTGAACGATTTTACTGAAAATTTGCATGGTGTATTGGTGCTATTCAGTCATCTTAATATAAAATTCATTCCAACTGGAGTGACACTTGAAGTGTCATGGCTCAATTGTAGGGCATTCAGCTCACAACAAAAGGAACCATGTTCAGTTCTGGGCAGGGCATGATTTATGAGTAAGTCTCTTGTTTTCTGTTCTTGTTCACCTACAATAATATTTAATTAGATTTTAGGTGACTTTTGGCTCACATCCTGGGAAAGGGAACCGAAGGATTCTAATGAAAATAAACTACACTGCTTGGTTTTAAATTTAAATTCAATTTTTTATTTCTTTTATGCATGACACATAATGTAGTTTACATGTAATAAAATATTGTTAGGCACAAAAGAAAGCCACTAGTATGTAGTGCATTTTGGGCAAACTAATCCTAATGCTAAAAGACTACTTAAGAACTAAACATAGATTATTTAGTAGGATTTCTTAAATGTACAAAAAGAGAGAATTTCTTCAGTAGTTAACTGTTATATGCACAATAAAAAGGTAACTAATGTATGAAAGGTACAATTTTAAAAGTATGATTTGTTTCAAATTGCAGCTTGCCAATTCACAAGTACAGTACTGTATACATCATAAATACAAAATAGGATTGGGTAATGAGAGGTAAAGTGGTAAATTATAGAACTTTTTTATATTGTAAATTTTAATTCTGTTTCAGAGCAGGTATAGTATATCAACACTGATCAAAAGTATATTTGACAAAAGAAATATTTTACCCTGATGATGTGGAGGTGCACTTGTTGATTGAGGTGATGCAGCACGGTATGCTTCAATCCTCTCTCTGTAGACACCAAGGCGCAGTACTGACTGTGGGCGCCTGAGTGCCTGACACACCACCTGGTGTGTAGCAGATGTCATGTCCACACCATCCACCTCAATGATCTGGTCACCAGGCTGCAGGCGGCCATCCTGTGCCACTAACCCATCAGGAAACACCTCCTGCACCACCACACAGCGCTGCAGATGCACAATGCATTAATGTCTTTTAAAAATATGTTGAAAATAGTCATTTGTGAGAGACAATATTTTTGAAAAAAATCATTGTAGATAAACAATTGCCTTATTAAAAAATCCAGAGTACATTATTACATTTTGAAGGACTCTTTATTAAATTAATTGGTGATATCCTTCCCTTCTTTGGAGCACTGCTTAGGCTAGGTAAAAATCATCAAAAAGCAAGACAAATGCTTACTGCATTTGTCTTGCTTTTGCAGTGGAGGGTCATATGATGTCCCTCCACTGCAACTTACAATCACATGACAAAGTCCTTTCCCTGGCTTCCTGGCCCACCCCATAAAAAATTGAAGATTAAATAATTTTAGACATACAGTAAAACCTCTCATTAACAAATTTCAGACAGAAAAACTGGGAAGACAAATGTTGGAAGCATAGGTTAAAAATTAAAAAAAAATTGTAATTCCAGATTTTGTCTATAGCGATAGTGTTCAGTTGTCTTCTGAAGCATCAGACCAAGGCCAATGATTCCATCGTATGTCCAGTACTGGCTAGAGCGGACATTCAAGACTGCTTCCATTGTTTTCTGAGCTGCAGGACACCCATGCCAGTTTATAGTTTGTGATCACTCATGGAAACTCGTCATTCAGTCTTCAATTTTCCCTGGATTTAGAGTATTATATGTGACTTTATTAACATATTAAGTAACATGCTATTAACAATGGCTTCTAAAGTAAGTGGTGGTGCCAAAAGAAAATGTCTGGTTCTCAGTGTTAAGCATCTCAGTGGTATGGATATGTAAGGAATATGGGAGTAAGAAACAGTGAGTAATATCTGTAGAAGCAAGGACAAACTTACGGACTATGCTCCTAAGTTTAGTGTAGATGCTAATGGAACTTTACTGCTCCTCTGACTCAGAAAAAAGTTATTCTAAGTCAACATTATCAATCACAGTAGTTTACACCTTATCTCTTCACTATGAAATAGTGAGTGAAAGTACTGTAAATTACATACATTATATAAAATTACTTTACAGTACAATACAGTACTGATATTCAGATTCTGACATGAAACAAATTTTAAATTTTATATCGAGGACTTAATCTAGAAGGATACTCTCAGTGACTGAATTGTAAGTTTTGATCTGGAATTAATTTTGCATATGCAATGTGTTGTGAAATGAACCTTTTGAATAGTGCCCCAAATTCACCCCTGACTTTTAGTTTTGGAATGAATTTTGGATTATGTACAACTGACGCACTTACGACTTTAGTTTTAATTACTTTCTGTAATGATTTTTTTGTTTTCACTATTTTTAATGACTTCTTTTAGTAATGACATTGCTTTCTGTAATGACTATTTTTTTATACTTTTGCTGTTTTGTAATTGTCAGTGAGGGGCCCATGATCCAAGAAATGGGACTTACCCTCCCCTTCTTGAATCAAACCTGAATGCCTCCCAGGTGCTATATGACCCCTACTGGTTTAGAGCTTCCTCATGATTAAAATTAAATAAGCTTTTTGTAATGACTGCTTTTTTGTAATTACTTTTTGTAATAACTTTTTTGCATTTTACTTTTTGCAAGATGACTGCTCTTCCTTGTTGTACAGATTTGTTTGACTCATGAGTTTAGACAAATCTTACATTTTCATGAATCAACTGTATGTGTTTCAGTCACCGTCCCCTGTACTGCAGTGCCAACAAAGAGGCCTGGTAGGTGTATCTCAAAACCCTTAAAGGCATAGGAGCTGCAGTTCAATCCTTCAAGAGATGTAGGAGGTATAATTTAATCCTTCCAAGTGGTCCAGGATCTGGAGATCTGTATCATCGAGGCCCAGAAGCTGGAACTCAGCCCAGTCACAAGATATTTATAAAGTAACTTACTAAGAAAATCAAGAGACCATAAATACACATGTATGTGCAACATACCTCTGTGCATCTATCCATGTTGACTTTAACATGTTATAAAAAAGTAAGTTTTCTGTATTTTCCAGCTTAATTTTCATAATCTAGGAATGTGATATCTGTAGTTTTTATACTACATACATGTGTTAAAGGCAGCAAGGGGCTAGTAACCCCTTCTGTATAAATTACTAAATTTGAAAAGAGAAACTTTCGTTTTTCTTTTTGGGCTACTCTGCCTTGGTGGGATACGGCTGGTTTGTTAAAAAACAAAAAAAAGTGTTAAAAGTGTTAGTCTTACGTGCATATCACAGGAATCAATAGACAAATCTTCATAAAACTCATGGAATTTCTTCTATGCAAAATGATGTGAAAGCACATGGGTTTTTAAAAACATACATAATTAAGGCTTGATTCAAATTAATTTTGTGATTTGTATGAAAAATTAAATTCTCCAGAACAACCAAGATAATTATGTAAAAAAATTAATATGATGCAGAATTAAGGTGGCATCACATTGTTAAATTTTCAGCTTGATACAAGAATTCCTTAGTGCTCTAGAAAGGTAATTATATCTCTCATTTTTTTAAATAAGAGTTGCCTACAATAAGTGTCAAATTATATTACACTGAGAGTTGAACAATATTAAAACTAAATCAAGGTTGAAAAACTGTATTTGTTTGAAAAATATTTTCCCTGAAGGTGTAAATGTAAAATAAGGACCAATAAAATAATCCTAGGGAATTTACTCAGAATAAGCATACGTAATGGAAAAATTCAAGAGAGGTTACTCACCAGAGGAGTGTCAGCCCCACCCACTATGGTGATACCAACAGGTGTTGGCCCCCGTGGAATTTCAATGTGGGAGATCTCCCCCTCCAGGATGGGCAGCCGGGTGATACCTGCAATAAGGTGAGTTAAGCCTCAGTCAAGTACCTGTACCAAAGCAGCTAATATATCACATATAATCTTACACTCCCTTCAGATTTAACATACTACAGCTTACAGAAGGATTTTCGAAGATGAAAGCAAAGTACATGTATTTCTGATGTGAGTCAGAAAGAGTGAATGGCTCTTTATCCTGTCCTTCCTTTCATCAAACTTGATTATCTTTCATGCTTCAGACTCTATATGACCCAAATGGGTATAAAGTTTCACCATAATAATAATAAAATATTACACTGAATTATATAAAGTGTGAGTTGGCGTTACATGAATGTCAGTTAGCATAGGGTATGAGCACAGTATCTAAGACCAGTTAACCTTTAAGAAGAGAGGGATTACCTTGATGCTGGTGAAGGACTCTTGATCCATAGAATTGGATCTACCTTTCCCCTGGAGCAAAAATAACTGCCTCCTATTCCTTAGGCAATGTATGACCTTTATGGTTTTGGTGCATTCCCATAAATATAATAATATAAAGAACCCTGTGAAAGGACGAGATTTGTCAGAGGGTGCAAAATAGCCCCAATAAAAACCAGGGGTGTAAGGAGTATGCTAAGAGACAACTCATTAAATGTAACGGAACGAGCACTCTACTAAACCCTTTCTTCACACATAAGATTTACCAACAGACCCCCAGCAATCTTCAAGAGATAAATTGATAAGTTCCTCAAGTCAGTTCCTGATCAGCCAGGCTGTAGTACCTACTTTGTACCCAACAGGAACAATATCTTTTTTACCGGTGAGGATCAGGGAGGAGCACTTGTTTTTCCTTTTGAGCAAACCTAACTGCTTCCCATTCATCATGCATTGTATAATCCTTGCAGGTTCAGTGCTCTTTTCCCCCTATGAATGAAATAATGGATTATGTGCAGCTAGCATGAACAGCCTGGTTGATTAAGAGGCCATGTGGGTGATGAACCCAGAAATCGTCTTCAGGTAACCTGCTGTTGATTTGCAAGATGCCCTGGGCCTTAGAGCTTGATGACATTGTGAAAGCCTGATGCTTCTACCCACTTCCCTTTTGAGGGATGTGGTGCCTAAATGCTGATGGGTTCTATATTCAAGGAATTGGAGCTGCCATCCCCTTCCTTGAATCAAACCTGATCATCTCCCAGTTTCCAAGTGCTGGAAGATCACTAAAATCCCAGATTTAGCCTTCCTCATGACTAATAATAAAAACCCTCAATAATAATACAGTGGAACCTCTGTTCTTGTCATTAATTCGTTTCAGAAAGTCTGATGAACACTGAATTTGATGAAAACTGAAGCAATATTGCCCATAAGAAATAATGTAAATCCAATTAATCCATTCCAGACACCCAAAAGTATTAACAAAAAATACATTTTATTGAGAATAACTATATTTTCAAATACAGAAAACAATGAGAAATAAATATAAAGGATTAATGAAATGGATAAATGAACATTTAATATCACTTTTACCTTTATTGAAGACTCTTGTTAGCATATGGAAGATGGCGAGGAGGAGAGAGGGAGGAGGGGTTATCTCTACCATCATCAATACCATCCTCTACCACAACTACTATCACCCTCTATCACTATCATAACCACTGCCACCCTCTACCACTATCACAACCACTACCACCCTCTACCACTATCACTACCATCTTCTACCAACGAGAAACAAAGCCAGACTGACTCAGAACGTGTTGGATGCTTTGTGTGGGCACAGGCGGACACGTTCGGTACTGCAGACCACTGTCAACTCGACAAAAACCGAGATGATGAACGAAAACTGGAACAAAATTTTGATGAGAAAAGTTGTCGACAACTGAATTCGACAAAAACCAGGGCAAACGAAAATTGAGGTTCCACTGTAATAATAATAATATAATAATATCTTTATTTCTACAAGTACATGTACAAGGTATGCAGGCCTAACTGACATCAATGACATACTATTACATAGAACTGACATAATTTTGCAAAATTTGGCAAAATTAGGTCAGTTTTGCCTCAGAATGCAACTCACACTAGTCGACTAACACCAAGGTACCCATTGTTACTGATGGGTGAACATAGACATCTGGTGTAAGGAAACATGCCCAGTGTTTCTACCCTTGCCAGTAATCAAACCCAGACCCTCACCATGTGAAGTGAGAGCTTTTGCCACCAGGCCACAGACCTGGTGGCAAGGAAGGTTGCTTGATGTTGGTCAACTCTTGATCTAAGGAATTTGACCTCTGCTTAAATTCCTTGAATTGAATCAGAATGCTTTCCATTCCTCCAGGCGCTGTATGACTGCTACAGGTTTAGTGCCCCATTAATATAATAATAATCCTACCCACTTCAACTAGGGGTCCCCCTCCCATTATGCTTTACCATGTCCCACATCTGGTCTGGTCTGGTGTGTCACCTTCTTCAGTGTAAGGCTTTTGATAGAGTCCCACATCAGAGACTATTGAGGAAAATTAAGGCACACAGAATAGGAGTAATTTTTTTCCTGGATAGGGGTGTGGTTGACAAATAGGCAACAGAGAGTTTGCATAAATGGGGAGAAATCAGAGTGGGGGAGCATCACGAGCAGGGTTCCACAGGGGTTAGTTCTAGGGCCGGTGCTGTTTCTCATATATGTGAATGATATGACAGGAATATGATATGACAGGAATAGACTCAGAAGTGTCCCTGTTTGCAGATAATGTGAAGTTGACGAGAAGAACTCAGTCGGACGAGGACGAGGAAGAAGAACTAAGGGATCTGGACAGGCTGCAGGCCTGGTCCAGAAACTGGCTCCTGGAGTTCAACCCCATCAAGTGCAAAGTCATGAAGATTGGGGAAAGGCAAAGAAGACCACAAACGGAGTACAGTCTAGTGGGCCAGAAACTAAAAACCTCACTCGAGGAAAAGGATCTTGGGGTGAATATAACACTGGAAACATCTCCTGAGATGCAAATAAAGCAAATAACTGCTGCAGCACATGGGTGCCTAGCAAACTTAGGAACAGCATCCCAACATCACAATAAGGAATCTTTCAGGACCCTGTACACCATGTATGTTAGGCCTATACTGGAGTATGCAGCACCAATTTGGAGGACAGAGGGATGGGGATACGATAACAGCATAAAATACTTAGAATCGACAGGGTGGATAGAGACAGGATGTTCCAGAAATGGGACACAGCAACAAGGGATCACAGTTGTAAGTTGAGGACTCCGATGAATCACAGGGATGATAGGAAGTATTTCTTCAGTCACAGAGTTGTCAGGAAGTGGAATAGTCTGGGAAGTGATGTAGTGGAGGCAGGATCCATACATAGCTTTAAGAAGAGGTATGATAAAGCTCATGGAACAGGAAGAGTGACCTAGCAGCGACCAGTGAAGAGTCGGGGCCAGGAGCTGTGAATCGACCCCTGCAACCAGAACTAGGTGAGTACACACTCAGTTTCTCTCTCTCTCTCTCTCCTCTCCGTTTTCCCTTCAGTGGTGTAACCTTAAAACTGGAGAAGGGCTTTTGATTCAAAGACTTGGAGTTACCCCTCACCTTCCTCAAATCAAACCTGATTACCTCCTGGTTCTCGGGTGCTGTTTGATCTCTTGTAGGTTTAATGCTTCTTCCCTTTGAATATAATAAAGAGTGTATATTCTTTTTATAAATAAGCCTGATAGACTGTGTTTAACAATGTAAAACGGGATACAAGTTTGGGCTCACGTTCACAACACAATTCTTTGAAAGTCGCCAGAGAAAATGTTAAAATTAAAGAATACTGTGTAGATAGTGCTTGACTTGTCTTGAATACGTAATGACACGAAAATTGTTTAGGAATTACAGTAATTTTGGGGGAGGGAACAGCAGCATATTTGTAATTTACAAAAGAAAATAATGCTAAGAATTTTTTTAACAAGCTTATTAATTTATCAGTCCTCTTTTCAATTATTTAATTTACATTAAAAATGGTTATTTTGTCTCCTTAGCTTTTATGGGAAAATATTTAATACTGAAAACTATATAAATTTTGAGAGGGGACCTTATCGTCCATCAGTCACCTTTAACGCTTTTTTTTTTTGACATAATACCCTTTCCTCAAGGAGGTGCCTTTATACCGGTGAGGGGCTCTTGATCCAAGGAGTTGAACCAGTCCTTTTCTTTGAATCAAACCTGATTGTCCCCTCCCCACCCAAGTACTGTAAGGCCCATACGGGTTTGTCGCTTCTCTATGAATGTAATAACTACATCCAAAGAACTGTTAATTAATCAATTTATAATGACCACAGGTTAATTACAGCAGGCAAAGTTTGAGAACTTTAGTAGAATTTAAAGTAATGAAGTAATGTTATTGTGAATGTAATATTTAGACACTTAAACATTTGGTAGAAGCAATACTACTACACTCATGGTAATGCAAGCTGCTTCTCGGCACCAGTAACTGTTACTGCCTCCCAGTATCCACTTTCCTGCCTCAGCAATATGGTCAAATGTACAGTATAATTTGTGATCATAGTTTGAGAGGGGGTCGCCGTAATTTAATTGACAGGCTTACAGGCTGGGTGGGCCCCCTCAAGAAAGGTTCCTTGACGTTGGTGAGGGGCTCTTGATCTAGGGAACTGGATATGTGTTCCAGTTCCCTGAATTAAGCCTGAATAACTTCCACATCCCCCCCACAGGCGCTACATAATCCTACGGGTTTAGCGCACCCCCTTTATTATAATAATAACAGGTTGGGTGGGTGCCACATCTGTTGATTTCTTTCCTCTCAGTGGAGGTTCCTTGACGCTGGTGAGGGGCTTTTGATCTAGAGAATTGGATCTGTGCTCTAGTTCCCTGAATTGAGCCTGAATACCTTCCATCTCCCCCCCCCCAACATGCGCTCTATAATCCAACGGATTTAGCTCTCCCAATTATTATAATAATGTTGCTTTCTTAGATAAGAGATAAGATGCTTCATTGCTCTCCTCCCCACGAATGAACTAATGGACTGCGTGCAGCTAGCACCAACAGT